AACCATCAGAGTCAACTGGACAGCTACAAATCGATAACATAGATGAAGATATGTTGGAAAACTATGAAAATGACTGGAGTGAGAAGCACACATATTCTTACATTAGGCAAAATCTCTCATCATATGAATAAAATCATATAAACATTTAGCAACAAAGCGTTTCATTTAAAATATACGTCACAGTATACTATTCGTATAATATATCTATCATGTGATAACGTAATATTTGATTTGCATAATACCCGGGTCTTTTACAATTTTTTTGGCCTAAACTGCTGCAGGGTACTATACATAGGGGGGTATTTTAGTCAGCGCTCTACAGTAGATCTGAATCAGTATCAACATCAACTAATGTCCCGTGGGTAACACCAAATACTGACAATCAAAAGCTCGACTGAAAGCAGGATAAGTGCAATCCATCAATCAATACAAAACCAACCACTGCCTGCTCCTGTAAAAATCAAAAAAGAACTGAGAACAGATAACAAAGGCAAGTTGCCCCAAAATCACACAAAAGTCAACAAAATAGTGCGCGAAATGGTCAAAAGGAAGAGGGAGATGCCTACAACAAATACTAACAAAACTGATGGAGAGATGAGTGGGAGGAAGCACAGTGTTATCAGTAGAAGTTGGATATGTCAAAAGAGTCAGACAAGGAAGAAGAAAGTATAGCACAGCGAAGACAATCCAGAAGAAAAACAAAAAAAGCAAAAACTGAGTAGTTGCTGCATAGAAAGAACCATTTTTGGTGGTTTAATTATCGTTATTAGAAAAAAAAAAAAAAAAAAAAAAAAAAAAAAAAGAAAAAAAAAAGGAATTTAGTTGCCAAAAAACGATTGATAGTTCTAAGGCTAAATATTATGCTAAAATTATATTTTGATTTTTTGTTTTTCATTTTCCAAACTCAAGAGAAAAACATTATTCAACTGAAACTTATAGTGAAAGATGCTTGTCGGCTTCTCATTCAAACAAAGTGAAGCTTAACTGATATAATAATTACTACATCCAGAAATTAGAAGAAACTGAGTTTGCCGAGTATGCTTTAGAAAAGGATAAAGAAGTCAATAAATTTTCTAGTAGACACATAT